CGGATACTAGAAATACACTTGAATATATTATATACAGATGGGATTAAGTAATTAGCAACGAAATTCAAAATGATGTTGTTTGCAAATTATATTTATTGATTTATTTTGGAACGAATTTCCGTCATTTGGTTTGCAGGCGAACCGGTTTCGGCATTGAGCCATCTTCAGTGTCTTTTTTCGTTCTGTCTGGTTCGAGTTTTTGTCCTTAATTTATGTTCATTTATCTTAGGTAATGTGATTTTCGTCGATGATTAATTATTAGAAATGCCATGGTGTCCTTTTTTATTTCAGAAGCAGTTAGCAGTAGGTTAATCTTCGCTGTCTCGATATTAACATATGTTATGTTGTCTCTGTATAGTTTTTGCCTTCAGGTAGGTAAAAGACGGTGATTTTTGTCCTGGTGATACTCAAAATGATGTTGTTTGCAAATTATATTTATTTATTTATTTTTGTTAATTTTCATTTAAAATATACCCCCCTATTATGAATTCATACGATACACGATAAACGCTTGCATTCTGTTATCCCGTATTACGAATTTAAGTCTATCGTATGAAATCCGATAGTTAGCGTTTATCGTATATCGTAAAAATATGATATTGCCAAACGATAACTATCGTCTCAGCCGTTCGATTTCAGACGCTTGCAAGCGGTTCGCCATTTTTAAACGATATATTGCTGTGCTAGTATACCAAATTAAAATTTGTTAATTATTTTCAGAAATTGGAATAATGTAAGTATTAAAATGAGCAAAAATAAATTATGAACTAGTTATAAACCCAATTCAAAAATTTCTTTAGGCCGAGAGTTGTGAGTACAAAGCATCAACTAGAGCGTCTTGCTTCGCTAATGGAGGAGAATACCGACCTCGCAAGAGGAATATGTCATAAAGCTGTCGCGAAACCACGTTGGGAAAAAATTACTCAGGAGCTGAACTCATTAGGACCACCAACACGATCATCAGATGCATGGCAACGAGTAAGCATATTAGTAGTGCGTATATTTGGAACTGAAAGACTAAAATATTTTATTACTGTAGGTTTGGAACGATTTAAAATATAAAACAAAGAAAAACAGCGCTCACATCCACGCAGAGAATTTAGCAACTGGAGGTGGGCCAAATAACACAGTTCCACTCTCAAATCTGGAAGAGACGGTGAACAGGCTAATGAGCTACACCACTTACAACAATCCGCCAGGCGAAGAATTTGGAATAGAAAATAATGACGATAATGAGTCCGTTACGGAAGTGGAAATATATTCAGACCACGATATCCCAGGGCCTTCGCGAGAGCATGGCCGAAATAGCAGCTCTAACCCTAAAAGGAGAGAAGAAAAACAAATTGCACTCCTTGAGCGGCAGACGGATCAGCAGGCTGAATTTCAAAAGGAAACTTTGGCCACACTAAAAGAGATGAAACAAAGCCTTTCAAATATTGAAGTATACACAAAAAAAACTTACTATATAAAAAAAGATAAATTCGCTATTTATAAGCAGGAAATGGAAAGTAAGAGAAGAGATAGGAAAGCGAAGTTAGAACTCAAGAAAAAACTTCTTGAGATCAAACAGAATATGTACAAAAATTATTAGTTTTAAGTATGTAAATATGTAAATTTATAAAGTGTAGTGTAGTGGACTGAATTTTTTAATTTGATACATTTACTATTAACTACGAATGTGATTTTATGAAAAATAAGTGAATTTTAGTTTGTTTAAGTAAGTTTAGAAAATATAGTGGACTGAATTCTTTAAGTAGATACATTTACTATTAACTACGAATGTGATTTTATGAAAAAAAAGTGAATTTTAGTTTGTTTAAGTAAGTTTAGAAAATATAGTGGACTGAATTCTTTAAGTAGATACATTTACTTTTAAGCTACGAATGTGATCTTATTTTATATTAAAAAACAATGGATTTGAGTTTGTACCTGAAGCAAGAAGCTTTATTATTTTTTGATAAAAACCTAAAGAAATAAAGTAAAAATCAATGCAAACAAGACAGTACATTTCTTCTCATTTCTTCTGCAGCTTGTCGCATAGGAGTAGAGTAATTTTCAGAAGTTTCTATTACAATTTCCGAATTCTCATTTTGCACATCTGCAATATCCTCTTCGTCG